AACAATAGTAGTAGTAGTAACAATAGTAGTAGTAGTAACAATAGTAGTAGTAGTAACAATAGTAGTAGTAGTAGCAGGAGCAATAGTATTAGTAGTATCAATGATAGTAATAGTAGTAGTAACAATAGTAGTAGTAGTAACAATAGAAGTAGTAGTAGCAGGAGCAGTAGTATTAGTAGTATCAATAGTAGCAGTAGTAGTAGTATCAATAGTAGCAGTAGTAGTAGTAGTAGTAGTAGTAGTAGCCGGAGCAGTAGTATTAGTAGTATCAATAGTAGCAGTGGTAGTAGTAGCAGGAGCAGTAGTAGTAGTAGCCGGAGCAGTAGTATTAGTAGTACCAATAGTAGCAGTAGTAGTAGTAGCAGGAGCAGTAGTATTAGTAGTATCAATAGTAACAGTAGTAGTAGTAGCAGGAGCATTTGTAATATCAATAGAAGTAGCCGTGGCATTATTAGTTGTCGTATTAACAGTAAAAGTAGTAGCATGGTGGTTTTCAGCGGTATTAGTAGTAGCATTAAAGAGCTAGGAGCTAGAGAATAATAATATACGCATAATAACAGGAATGTATTATATTGGTTCCAATTTTAGTTGATCTCTATCTCATTTTATGCTCCTCTTACTTAGTCAGCCTATGTCTCAGTTGTCTTCCATAGAAGCCTTTTCGGTTAGATCTATTTAAAAATATGCCCACATCAATGCACACAGCTATAAAATCTACCAATACATATGTATGTATATAGTATATATAGGTTTCTAGTGAATTCTTAATTAAATGAACCAGTTCAATTGGCCAGCTCAATTTGAGTGTTGCTCTTGCTGCTGGCCACGAGCCTTGTCCTGCTGTTGATTATTATTTTCAGTTTATTTGTACTGCTCGTTAGCCAAGCTAAACTTTAGCTGATTAGCAGCTGGATTCGGCACTTGCATTCGAAATGCCTTTCCGCAGTCTTTGGCTCAGCTTCATGTGGTCGCAGCACGTTGCAAGGTTGCTCCTTGCGCTGCTCGTTGCCAGCCCCTACTCCTGCTGCTGTCCACTCCCTCTCCCCCTCCCTCCCCCATCGCTGAAAAGCAATTTGCTAAGCTGGCATTAGCCGAGAGCAGAGTCTAACACATAATGTGGCCAAAAATGAAGCATTCTCACTCTATATGCAGCCTAATACTCTTGTTACGTACCCGGAATTGTATATATATGTGTGTGTGTGTGTGTGTATGTATATGTGTAGTAGAAGAAGTGCTATTAAAATTACTTAAAACCAGCCAACAATAAAAGGGGCTTGAAAGCAGCTTAAATATGCCGCTTATTGATGCTGAATAGCAGCAGCAACAGCAGCAATAGCAACAGCAACAGCAGCAACAGCAACAGCAGCAGCAACAACAATTCCTGCTTGTGTGAAGGATATGTTGACACGACTCCTTAGCACGCAACTCACATACCCGCAGCAGAGTCCTTACTCGCCTCCTGCTCTGGCATTTGCCCCCTCAGATGATGCTGCTGCTGCTGCCGTTGCTGTTGCTGTTGCTGTTGCTGCTGCTGCTGTTATGCGTGTTGCATACTAATTTCAAAAATTTGCCATTACATTTGTAGTTCGCACTGCGTCCTGTTCGCATTGCCACGCTGCCCCGGCCGGGCTTTGTTCTGCCTGTTGGGCAACTCGCATTACTTGCAATTGGTACAAATGTAGTTTGGCTCTGTTTTCAGCTTGATTATCAACAGCAGCAACAGCAATAGCAACAGCAACAGCAATAGCAACAGCAATGGCAATGGCAGCAACACAAATCCAACAAATTGTTGGCATTTATTTCTAGTCAAAGGTGTCTTAACTACATATAACTTACACACACTCACACATATGTCTAGTTGTTGCTGCTGTTGTTGTTGTTGCTGCTGCTGCTGTTGCTCCTGCTGCTGCATTTGAAGATCAAAGTAAAATTTTCATACGCAGCCAGTGCAAATAAAACTTTTTGGCCTGTTTCACTTCAAGCAGCCCACACAATCTATCCTACCATCCCTGCCTACCCCCCCTCCCCCCTCTCCCTCTCCAGCCCCTGCTGCGTCCCTTGTGTTCGCTTTGCCAGCAAGTTCTTTTCGCCCTTGAGTTAATTGCCAAGTATTTGAGTTGGCAACATAACTAAAAAACTTGCAAGAGAAAATAAATTAAGAAATTTTATTTTAATTTCACACAGAGGCCGTCAACAACAGCAAGTTGAAGACGAAGAAGAAGAAGAAGAAGCAGATGATGATGATGATGATGTTACTGGAAATGTGTGATAAATAAAATCTTAATTACGAACTGTTGAATCGCATGATAATAGTTACGCTTTAATTGGCGAAGACTTTTAATAAAAACTGCAGTGCTTGTTCGGCACTTGGGGAGTGGGCTATACGTAAATTGAATTATATTGGGAAACTTGCATTGTGCATGGCAATATCAAAAAGATTGCGTAAAGCAATCAGTGAAACGTTTGATGGGAAAGAATATCAAGGAGATACCTGAAGTGTTGGGAAAGTAGACGTAGATAAATGACATAGAACAGCCAATTCTTACTGGAATAAGAGAAGAAGAACACAAAATAGAAATTCTAGGAATTGAACGGAAAATTCAATAAGATATTATATGGGTAAATTGGTAGATAAGATAGGGAAATTCTGGAAAAAGTTGTGTAGGGCAATTGGGAACGTTTGGGAAGCTGAAACGTTTGAGATGATGGAATGAAAATGTTGAGCAAAATGATATTGAAGAGACCATAAGAAGTTTGTAGAAGAAAGGGCAAGTTACTGAAAAGAAAGAAGCGGCAGATAGAGAGAAAGAGAAGAGTCTGGTAGAGTGAGACAGAGAAGAAGGAACAAAGAGTATAATATGGCCATGGAGAGAGCGCCTGTGGAAGAATGTGACAGAAGATTAAAACATGAGAGAGAGAAAGAGAGAGAGAGACAGAGGAAGGCAAAGGAAGGCAGAGACAGAGAGAAAGATAGACAGATAGAGAGAGAAAGAGAGACAAAAATACAGAGAGAAGGAGAGAGAGAGACAGAAAGACAGAGAGTTAGATAGGTTAGGAATAAAGTCAGAGAAGATGTTAGACAGACATACTGCATGCCTGCCTAGATATAAGATAAGAGAGAGAGGAGAGAGAGAGAGAGAGAGAGTGATTAAGTGAGTGACTGAGAAAGAAAAGGAATTCTTTTATTATGAAGCGCCAGAGCATCTTTTTACCCTATTATCTCGAAAAGGCAATAAAAGCAAAGATATCGATAGACAGATGAGAAATACTATATACAAATTTTTATACGAGAGATACAACAAGAAAATCAATTGAGCAGAAGAGAATATTGTTGAGCTGGAGACTAACGGTGCAAAAGCCTGGGCGGTCACGTAGTTGGCAATGGGGACGCAAACGCTCGCCAGGTGGAGCGCAAAACGCAATGCATGACAGACTTTCTAATGCCCGCATTACAAAAGCTAAGAGGTCTTTGAGGAAAAGTATTTCAGCTGCGCGCTCAAGAGACCTGTGCAGGGCTTAACGCCGCTACGGAAACCTTTAAATTTGTCAACCCAAGGCACACGTACACACACACACACACACAGACGCACAAAGGCAATGCCAAGCGCATGTCATAATTGTCAATGTCAAGTGCGCTTTGGTTGCCCAGGAGCTTAGGGGAGGCCTCAAGACGACAACTGACCCCAGCTGGGCAGAACGACAAATTATCCATATACATATATACAAAGTATATATATATATGTGTGTGTATATAGGTATATATACGTATATTAAATCTAGTTTCCGGCAAGCGGAAGTGCGGCATCTTTAAAGGCATTAAGAGGGCGAGAGCAAAATGATTTTTGATTTGTTAGCCAATGGACTTGACATTGTCGCATAGAGGAAATGTCAGAAGGCATGTGAGAGATACATATAGAGGGAGAGGGAAACAGAGAAGGGAAGAGAGAGTGACGGGAAGACTTGAGCAAACATTTGTAGCAGCAGCCATGTCAGACATGTGTGTGTGTGTGTGTGTGTGTGTGTGTGTGTGTGTGTGCATAGGCTGTAGCTGTCATGACAGGCGCCGCAAAGTATGCAATTGCTGCAAAAGCAGTTTGCCAAAAAGGCCAAACGTCCGACTGGCGTCCTGTTGCCTGTCGCCTTGTACTATCCATTACAAGCCATTGCCTTGCCCCGCCGACCGCCTTTGGCCCTGGCCATAGCGCTCTTCCGCATCCGTATCCTGGCCTAGTTCGCATTTAAGCATTGCGCCGGGCAATAATTCAGGCGTCCGGGCGCAAAGTCGCATAAAAATCAAATAAAAGTGCCAAAAAAAAAAGCAGAAGAAGAAGACGAAGAGGGGAAAAAACATGCAGAAAATTGCTCTGTGCAAATGTACAATAATAAAATGTTAGCTGCTAGCTCTCATTACTTCACACTCTCCCCTCTCTCTCTCTCTCTCTATCTCTCGCTCTCCCCTTTCTGTCTCTCTCTCTCTCTCTTGTATAGATAAGCGAGTCAAAGTTAACCCAGTTGCTCGCTTTTTGGCGCAATGAATAAATTTTCGCTTAGTTTTTGTGTCGCATTTTTCAATTCTCAGCTTTCAGCTGCAGTTGGCTTCAAGAAACTATGAAAATATATCCGCATGGACTGCAACAACAATCAAATATATTGAACAACGCAGCAATACCCTGTTGTGAATGCATTCTCACTGTCTATCAATATGTTATTAAATATTACCAAAGCTCGAGAGCTTTCAAGGGATTAGCTTAAATAAATAATAAAATCTTTCATATATAATCAAAGCATACAAATTGAACAATATTAGCTGCTATATTAAGCAGAAGAGATACTGGAACTTCTATGCTTTAGAGCTGACTTGGAATACAACACTGCAGACCCTTACTCCCCTAAGAGGCTATAGGGTATTTGAAAAGTTTCGAGTAAGAAACAGAAATAGTTAAGCAAACATAACAAACAAAATATTGTTGGCTAACGATACTTTTGCCAGAGCTAAAATTGATAAGCGTAATTAATTAAAATTTGGAAAAGTGCGAAAGCAAACAAAACGAAACGAAATGAAACAGCGCAACGCTCTGTTCGCCATTGAGTTGGCACTAAAGTTGATTCCATATTTCACGGCATTCGGGATTATGGATTATGACAGGCAACAAACGTGCCAGCCAGCAGGAGTAGGAGCTGGAGCAGGAGTAGCCATGGGACTGGCCAAACAAATCCCAACAAATAGGTCGACCAAGTGTGGGCAAGAACTCAGCTTAACTCTAGCAGCCAAAAAAAAAAAAAAAACGAAAAAAAGCAAAAACAAATAGCGAAAAAAGAGAGCAAAAAACAGAAATAAATGTGAAAAAAAAGAATGGAATTTTTTTTTGGAACAAAATTTAATGAAAATCTGCAAAGTTATGGCAGCAAATTTTGTGGAAAATATTTTATGCCAGATCATAAATCAGTTTGGTTTTAGTTTATGCTTCCATTTGTTTCAACTTTTCTTAAAATATGAGCTTAATTGTAGCAACTCTATGTAATTCTCAATTGGCTAAATAGATGGAAGGAGGCAAAAAATATGAGGGAGAGGGAGAGAGACAGAGAGTGTGTGTGTGTGTGTGCGAGTGAAATGGGGTAAGGAGAGTGGTATGGTTTCAGAGTTTGTGCTACTTAAGCTTATTCAAAGTGTAATTAGTGCATCGCTAATAAGCTAAAGTAAGATAAAGGAAAGCTGATTATATAAAATAAAATGATAATATCATTGGTTAGCAAAAGTAGCTCTAAATGTGAAGGAGATGTAATATCATAAATTATTTCTGATCTGATTTTGAAACGATAACGGAAAAATGGATATAGCTATCGGGTTTTTAAAACAAACTTGAACAGCACGCGGTATAGACGGACTTGCAAAAAATATTTCAAGTCTTTAGCTCTATTATTTTCCGAGAACGATGAGTTCAAATATGCAGACACAGGAGCAGAAGAACGTATAGACGAACGGGACTAAGTCAACTAAGTTCATCACTCTGATCATGAATATACATATATACCTTATGTAGTCTGTCAACCGTAATTATTTATCGATAGATCAATATTAGCGATCATTTCGTTGATATCGATTATTCCATAAACAGAAATATCTCCCTAAGACACTTGTATTGCTCGGGCATACAAGGGTTAAGGGCTTCAGGCACGATGTGGTGGCTTCAGGCAGGAGGCCTGGTACTTGGGAACGGTTGGTAGTGTTGGGGCATGACACAAGTGCATTTAACAAATTAAAATAGTGACCAGACCGACGATAATAAAGCTGATGATGCCATTGGGTCTGCATGGGGCTCTGCTCATGATGATGATGATGATGGCGATGATGATGATGGCGATGATGATGAGCTGTAGGTTGGCTGCAGCTGGTGTTGTTATTGTTGCTGTCGCAAATGAGCAGAGCTGAATTGCAATTCAAGCCAGAACTGACACGCACAAAAGGATATATAACATTTACTAATAAATTTCATATTTATGTACGGACATTGCCGACGACCGCAGGGCCAAAGTGGAGCTGTGACCCGGACGCAGACCCGGAACCCAAAGAGCGCTGAAAATCAACGTGAAATTGCAGCGGGGCTATAACGCTTGTGTGTGTGTGTATGGCGTGTGTGTGTGGCGTGTGTGTGGGCGTGGGCGTGGCAATGGGACAAAACAGTGCGGTTGGCAATGCAAACAGCAGGGCTGGCCAAATGGAGAAGCAGCAGCAGAGCCGCTTGAAATCACAGCAGGACATAAAAAGGATGCGTGGCAATAAAAATAAGCGAAAGCAAACAAACAAACAAACAAACACAGAGACGGGCAGGCAAGCAGACAGACGTAGACGGACGGACTGATTCAGTAACTGGATGCAGGACGCAGCAGCACATATAGTAAAGGGCGAAGGCGCGGGCGTCAGCGTGGGCGTGGGCGAAGGGTATACGGTGCCAGGAACAGGTCGCAATTTGCTGTCTGGCTGGAGTGCATTGCTCTGCGAGTCGTTGCCAGTGCAGCGGGATTCGGGATGGGAAGGGGAGATGGGAAAGTGATGGGGAGGGGGGAGGGGGGGATTGGGTATGTGTCGTTGGGAAGCAAATATAAATATTCTTCAGCGCACACAAGTCAATTAGTTTAAAGCAAAAAGGAATTCCAAGCGTATCACAATATCCAGTTTTCCCGATATCCATTTGCTCATATATGCAGCTATATAAATAAATATGTGCATGTGTATATATGTTTGTAGAGAGCGAACAAACTGTTTGTCCGACTGATTGCTCATCGAAAGGCAGCAATCAGTCAGCTCTATATAGATATATACAATATCTCCATGAAAGCGCACATTTAAAATATGTGAAAATGCTCAGCGAATATATATATTTTTTTTAATATTTCTTCATTTTACAGTTTCATAATTAAACTAATAAAAATGCTAGCGAAATATTTATAAAGCAAAAGACTGTACAAAATTAATTAATTAAATTTGCAGACTTAGTTATGGTCAATTTTTAGCTCGTAATATTCTTAAAATATTAAAAATAAAAATAATAAAAATATTATTAAAAATATTCTTGGTAAATTTAGACTGTTCTTAACTAGTTGAAACTGAAAGTACTATTTATTGATTCTCAATATAATATTTGTGTATAAATATTAAATTAAATTTTTAATTTAATCAACTAAAGCCTGAGAATGATATGTTATTGAAATAATCAATAGAATTTTTTATAGGAAATTTTGTATTTTTAATAGGAATATTTATATATGATTTTGTTCTTCAGTTCTTACTGTATATAAAAAAAAATATACATATATATTTGAAAACTCTTTTACAGCTCAAATTTACTTGTACTATCTGGTTCAATTTTTCAAATATTTTATAAATTTGCTTCAAGTATTTATATAGTAGAAATCTTTAAAATTCTTCGAACTTTAATTAAATTTGAATTGCTAATGGAGCCTAGAATAAAGTTTTCAGCATTTTTATGGATGTGTACTCATGGTTAGGCTAAGTACAGCAGGCAAACGCGGATATTTACATAGAATATTTACCATCATCGTAATTTCAAATGCAAATCTAAATGGGAATCGGCCCAATTTGAAATCCAGCAAACGGCTGCAGCTAGACAGAGAGTTGAACAATAATTGGAAACGACAAAATGAAACCGAATCGAAAATGATTTCATTTCAAATATAAATTATCAGATTTGACACAATAATAATTATAATGCGATGGGTATAGCGACCAGACACGTCCACTCACAGACACAGACACACACACACCTCCATACATACACCTCCATACACACACGTGCAATTGCATTAAATTTGCGGTCGTTATGCATATGTATCACGTTTTACATATCAGCGCAAATTATCCAGAAACGTTTCCAATAAAACTCGAAGTGATAAATATTAAATTACATTCTTATCATTTCGAATTGCAATTCAATTAGAATTATACGCTAACCGGCTAAATGGTTCGCATGAGCCAAACATTTAATCAATTATGCCATGGCTAGAAGTGACTAAGAACTGTATTAGATATAAGCTCTTTAGCTTAATAACTGTACGTAGTCACAATTGGCTGTTTGTCTTCTTAAACTTTTTTTATTATTATCAGATTTCTATATGTGATACTGTTAAATTCTCGTATTTATATACAATTAACTTTATATAGAACGTCCGTCACCTTCGCTTAGCTCATGGTCGTGTACTCTCGAGCACCGTCCTCCTATTACTCAGGCTACACGAGCATCCACTTGCTTTAAATTGTAGCTGTGCTTCCGGCTATTTAGTCTAGTCTACTGTACTCCCGAGCACCGTCCTCCCATAGCACAGGCTTTGTTTTGAGATACAGCTCTGCTCCTGGGTATCTTCTAGTCGTGTACTTCCGAGCACCGTCCTCCCCTTCTTCTAGTCGTGTACTCCCGAGCACCGTCCTCCTATTACTCAGGCTTCACTTTAAGGTGGAGCTCTGCTTCCGGGTATTTTATAGTCGTGTACTACCGAGCACCGTCATCCCATCCACTTTGTTCATCTAGTCTAGTCCAGTGTACTCCCGACCACCGTCCTCGCATGACACAGGCCTTGTTTCAAGATGTAGCTCTGCTTCAGCGAGTTTTCTCACCATGTACTCCCGAACACCGTCCTCCCAATGCTCAGAATTTGTTTGAAAATGCAGCTCAGCTACAGCGTATCTCCCAGTCGTATACTGCCCAGCACTGCTACTCTTTTCTTTTTTCTTTTTTTTTGTTTAAATGAAATATTTTTTTTGATATTCATTTATTACAGTCGGTCCCCTAGCAATTTGATGCTATTAAATGTGACAGCTGTAAAGTGTTGGCGATTGTCCAAACTCATAATGAGCGGCGCAAATATTGAAATCACAAATAAAACGCGAATTAAAACAAATAAAACATAGCTGTGAATGTGTGGTTGTCTGTCGTTCAGTTTGTTTAATTTTGCAGTAAATTAAAAACGGAAGGCATAAAAATTATTTATATGTACATATATATAAACTTAATGAATTCAACAATTTTGTAATTTGTTGACATAGTCTAAAGACAACTTCGAATGCTTTTTTGTATTTACAAACATATATTTTTTAATTTCAATTTGCTTTCATAAATTCCAAAAATAATTATTATTGGGATATTATTTACAGTCAATTATGCGAGAGTTTAAACCTAATTGGTTTCAATTAAAGAGTCGCATGAAAAAGTTGAAACCAACCAAAAGTATTTCTATAATACAAATCTACTAAAGCCCAAAAAAGGGCATAAAATCGAAATAAAATTGAGCTGGGAAACTCAACCAGAAACCATTAAAAATCGTTAAAGTTTAGCAAAAGTTTTGAGAGTCTAAGGCTAAAGAAATTTTTTGGAACTTTGCGGGCTTCATGAAATTGTATGCAAAAATTGTGATACGCTTTAGATGATGTTTAAAATAGAGCTTTATAAATAGAAATTTCAGTTATTATTGTGGCTTAAATAGGAAAAGTTAGGGTCTATTTTGATGAAATAAAATCTGTTTTGAGGTGAAGTAAATTCAAATAATTTTCATACTGGACGCAAGACTCCATATGTGGATAAATATGAATATAATATACATTTCATCTGATTAAATAAACACATTAGACATTTTGATACACATACAGGAGAGTAAAGTGGGTATAATTGCTTAAGACTTGAAATTTGAATATAGATATATGTACGTATCAACCCTCGATCCATATACTAGAGGCGTGGCAATTGTCACGTTCTTTCTTGTTGAGCTTAAGCCCAAATTATTCTAGTTGAAGTTTTATGAAAAAAAAGGGATATATGCATACATAATTATATATGTATATCACTTAATCTTCGAATAGTCCCCACACATATCAGCGTTATAATCTCTTGTAGTCCGACTGAAGGCATTCATTGCTCGCACAGCTGCTCATTAAGTCGTCGTTGGATTTGCTTGGTTCATAATGCTTAAGTGCGCTTCCTCGAGCCTCAATAATTATCTAAGCATATTAATATAACTGTTTATTTGTGTGCTTAACGGGCAAATGTTGCCACTCGACAATCGATTGGGCAGCTTTGGTTACTTTGGGCAAGGGTTAACCTCACTCCATTCTAAATAGTAATTATATCTGTTCTCAGTTGACCTCACAATTTGCACGCAATTTGACAAGCAGAGATAATATATTCCGAAATTCGTCAAATGTATTTCAATTATTAATTGAGGCAATGATACAGACAGAGATGGAGATGGAGAGAGGCAGAGGGAGAGGAA